GTAGCTTTATATGTGAAAGAAAAGTTAAACTCTAAATATATATATTCTGATGAAGAAGGGAGAATCTAAATGGAAGAAATGACAATAAATCAAAAAAAGGTCTCGATGATAGCAATATATGCACCTAATAGCAAACAAGAAAAATTCTATCATAAGCTATATAAAACAATATTGGAAAAAGAATGTCAAAATATTTGCATATTAGGAGACTTTAATGCAATTTTAGATGAGAGACTTGATTACAAAAATGGTAAAAATGGGGAAAAGGGAAGGAAAAGACTTCCAAAAGTTTTCTTTCAGATGGCAGAAGAACAAGGACTACAGGATATATGGAGAGAAACAAATATTAAAAACTCTCAATTCACCTTCTATTCAAATAGGCATAAATCCTGCTCGAGAATAGATATGATCTGGCTATCCTCAGAATTAAAAACTGAAATACAGGAAGTAGAAATAGAAACCAATATTTGGGCAGACCATAATCCAATGAAAACGCGGTGGAAAGGAGAGAGAAAAGAAAAGAAAAGATGGACTTTAAACCAGGGAATATTGAAGGATAAAGAATTTGTGGAAAGAACTAAAAAAGAAATGGAATTCTTCTTCAAAGAAAATAAAAAAGAGGAAACATCCCTGCAAACAATTTGGGACACAGCTAAAGCATACTTCAGAGGATTAGCCATATCATATATAGCCAAAAGTAATAAAGGTAAAAACGAACAACTTACAAAACTGAAAGAAAAATTTAAAAAACTGGAGCTAGAGCTACAAAAAGAACCGCAGAAGAAAATTCTTAAAAATCAGATGGAGATAGTGAAACATAAATTAAATGTAATAGAATCAGAAGAATTAGCTCAACAATTTAAAAGGGCTAAACAAAATTTCTTCCCCGAAAACATTAAAAATCTCCTAAATGAGAAAATAACAATGATGGAAGTAACAGAAGCCATTAAAAAACAAAAAAAATTATAAGACCCCAGGACCAGATGGATTACTTGAAATCCTTCCAAGATATAATAAGTCTACCAATAAAAGAGGTCTGCAATTAAGTTCTACTAGAAGCTAAAATACCCAAGACATGGCTAGAGGCATACAGTGGGGGCTTGACTTGCGAACTTAATCCTTATTGGAAGGCGGTTCACAAGTCAAAATGTTCGGTCAAAATCTGCATTACCATAGGAATGCATTGAAAACCATTTGATCTGTATCTGCACCCCCGCCACCGCCGCCTCTGTACCTTTGTGCCGGATGCGCCTCTTCCAGTCATTGGCGGTCTCCTGGCCGCTGACGAACTGGAACTCGTTGGGCGTCCTCCGGGAGAGGGTGCGGGTGGGAGTGAGGGGCCTGGGGGTTTGCGGCGTGTAAGTCCAGGTAGGTGTGCGGGTGTGGGTGGTGGTGATGGGCAGCGGCGGCGGCGGCGAAGAAGAGCCGCTCGTAGGCCGGCAGGTGCGGGGTCACCACAGGGATGGCGGCGGCCGCCAAGGGGAATCCTCCGGCAGGTGGGCATGTGCGCGCCAGCTAGCAAAGAAGCAGCCAAGCAATCCAGGGAGGGAGAGGTTGCCTTTGGCAGCCGTCACACCATGCTCCACAGAGCTCAGGGCAGGGGATGGGCCGAGCAGCCAGAGGCGGGAGAGGGAGCTGCTCCTGCTCCTCCACGCCCTCCCTTCGCCCCAGCTCCTCCCGGTCCGGCTGCTCCTGCTTGATGGTCGGCATGCTGGTGGCAGTGGCGGCAGCAGCAGGAGATGTGGATTTGGACCACGTGGCG